TATGTGTATGAATTCAATACTCATACATTGTATAGGCATATATAGTATGCATAGATACAGGTATGTTTATGTATTTACATATACACACATATGAGGAGGAAGTATATCTATACATATGTACATATGTATAGATATATACACACATATATATACATATATATACATATATACATATATTTCTTCTTTCCAGATAAAGAAAGTAATTAACTCTTACTCATATCCCCCAAATGATACAATATGGCAATAGTTAGGACACTTTTAATCTTATTTACTTTAAAACTAATGACTACAAGTAATTCTTTTCCTTTCCATATCTACTTCTGACCTAGTTAGAAGTATTTTTTTATAATGTAACTATAATCACATCAGATAGGAGGGGGTTTCCCCATATTTGGTTTCTGTTGCTGATAAAAATTACCAGAAACTTGTTGGCTTAACACCAACTCATTCCTCCTGTGGACCCAGGGATTGAAGGTGCAGGCACAGTTAATCTTGTCCTTTTCCTAGTCTCTCTCATCGGACTGCAGTGAGGGTGTTGACTTGGGCAATGATCTGACTGACATTTAGGGGCTTCTTCCAGTTTAGTTTCACTGTTCTCTGTTGTTGGTAGAATTCCATGCCTTTGGGCTGTCGGACAGAATATTCAACTCCTAGAAGTCGCTCCTGGCTATAGACAGTTAGTTTATAGTGACAATTTGCTTCTCCCAGATAAGCAGGACCTCCCTCCCTCGACCAAACTCACATCCTCCCCCTTCCTCCCTCTAGCTGATATAAAATAGTTATGTCAGATGTAACATATCCCAAGGTACTAACCACCCCATCACATTCACAGGTCACCCTCATTCAGAGGAACGAGGGTACTCCCATTCAGATGGGAGCAGCCCCAGAATTTTGCCTACCATATCCTATGACTAATTTATCTAATTTTAGATTTTTTGTTTATCACTAGAAGCCACTAACAAATTCTTACTTTTATTTTAAACACTCAGGGTACCTGTCTCACAATTTTTCCTCCAATACATTTTAAATCAAACATCATTTTCAATATGAGGTAGGTCATATATGTTCCTACTCTTATTTTCTTACCTTACCAGGATCTTGTCAATTGCTACCTATATCCTAATAAAATCCATAAATAGATTTTTTGTCTGTTTAGTTTTACTTTACTTGGGGGCCACATTTAGTGGTGCTCAGGGGTTACTCCTGACTCTGCATTCAGGAATCATGCCTAGTGGTGCTCAGGGAACCATATGGGCTGCTGGGGATTGAACCTGGGTTGGCTGCATGTAAAGCAAGTGCCTTAACCATTGTTCTGTTGTCCCTGCCCTCAAAATTATTATATAGAATTTATGGGACCATTTTAACAACTTAAACAAGTTTTAAGAAAAAAAGAGAAAAACCCTTTTTCTATACTGATTTCCAGCTTTGCTTTTTAAAGAGTACACAATATGTACAAAGTTTTCAGATTCAAAAGGAAATATGAAGACTTAAAGAACTCTAGGTAGTGAAAATAATCGTAATGTAGTTAAATTGGGCAGATAACGATATAATCACATAGCGAGTGGAGTAATGATAAAATATTTAAATGGAAACTCAAGTCAGCATTGGAGGTCAAATCTCAAGACTATAAATTATTACTATGGTGACACAAATTAACCCAAATTTAGTGGCTTTGGACAAGTCGTATGCCTCACAACTGTGTGGGCCTGGAGTCCTGGCCAAGTCAACTGCGTTCTTGAGCTGCAAGGGGCGTTCACTTCCATCTCCTGTGACACTCAGCCTTGGCTGCAGGAGCTGAGAAGGGGTTCCTCCCATCCACAGCACTGCCTTTCTCTTTCCACACAGCATCTTGGTGGTGTGGCCTGTTTGGGCTTCTCACAGGGCAGAGCAATAGCACAGTGGGTAGGGCGTTTTGCCTTGTGCATGGCCGACCTGGGCTCGATTCCTCTGTCCCTCTCGGAGAGCCCGGTAAGCTACCAAGAGTATTCCGCCCGCATGGCAGAGCCTGGCAAGCTCCTCGTGGCGTATTCGATATGCCAAAAACAGTAACAAGTCTCACAATGGAGACGTTACTGCTGCCCACTCGAGCAAATTGATGAACAACGGGAGGACAGTGCTACAGTGCTATATAGTAAATATACAATAAACAATTAGTATGTTATTTATAAAAGCTCCTATAAACAATATTTAGCAGAGTGGACACCTACAGTGCTATGGTGGCCTCAGGGTACTTATAATTTCTTCTTTCTGTTCTTGTAAGCACACAAGAAAGGAAACAGATCTGGTTGTGGTCCATTCAGAACAATCCCACAGCATTACTTTGACCTGTTCAGTCGGGCTGGGGACTCATCAGATCAAGGGAAGGAAACAGGGTCCATTATTTCCTTCAACACACCTCAGTGGAAGAGGTTATTGCACAAAGCATCTGTGATCATGTTTGAATCAACCTGGAGGGAACACTCAGCAGGACCAGACAGGTCAGAAAAATCTTTTCAAAAAACTAAAGGGTATTATTATGCTGAGGAAAGTTAGTGGAAAGGAAAGGGATAGACAGAGAACAATCTCTCCTTATGAGATACTTAAAGATACACAGCAAGGTAGCAACAAAAGGCCAAAGGCAACACTTAAGAGAGCTAATCCACAAAAGCATGGGAATTGGAACCTTGGGGCAGGGAGGTGAATACATTGATGATGGGTGTGGTATTGGAATTATGTATGAGGGGAAACCAACATTAACAATATTGTAAATTCGGAACCAACCTTCAATCCATAAAAAATGGTGTTATACTAATATTGATAATGATGATGATGATAAACAAAAACAAAACAAACAAACAAACAAACAAACAAACAGCTGTTCAGGGAATGGAGAACCTAAACTGGGTTTTAAAGATTATGGAGCATTTGAGAAACTGGAGTAGGGTTAAGGCCACAAAACATTAAACAACCATATATAAATCAGTAACAATAGAGAAAGACTTTGAAAAGACTTTCAAAACAAGAGTTTTATTTCTTTCACAATTGACTTGGTTAACCACAAAATAACCAAAGGTATCCGTCTCAATTCAAGTCTTAGTCCCTCTTTCCTGCTTTGAAAGCAAACAAAATAAAACACGACTTTAATTTAGAATTAAAAAAAAAAAAGTGGTCAGCTTCTCTAAAGAAAGGTGAATTTGAGCATGAGGACTAATTGGGGAAGGTCAGTGAGAGTTCAGGCTGCTTTGGAGAGTCTTTTCTGTTAAGACTCACAGGATAGGAGGAAGTGTTTGTAGGAAGACCTGACTTGAAGCCAGGCAGCAAGAACTGGGTGTGTTTTAGCAACCACAGATCAAGCAATCTGGATTTGGCAAGTGTAGCCAAAGTCTTCCCAGGGTTACAATGTAGAAGTTTCAGTCCTCGCCTGTCTCTCAGACCACTGTGCTCAGGAAAGCTTAATAATTAAAGGCAGAAATTTCTGAGAAGCAGCTTACTTTAGATTTGAAGTTTAGAGATAAAAAGCTTTCTAGATTTATTACATGTATCTCTTTACCAGACCTGCAAATGTGTTTTGCTGGGTATTTTGTTGCTTATTTTCAGTGAAGGAGTTAGAGTGGTGTTAAAATGTAGGCGGTTGTACAAAACTACTACCCACCTCCCCCCACCCCTCACCAAAGTGCCCTGGACCCTCACCCACTATTCTTTGTTTTTTTTTTTTATCTGATCTTCCTTCATCCACCCTGCTGTTTGATAACTGATACTGTTTTCAAGGGTTTGTCATTGTTCAGTCCTTTCTATTCTTTTATTTGGACTCTGTGTTCCACAGATGAGTGAGGTCACGGGCGTTTGTCCTTCCTCTGACTTATTTCGCTTAACATGATACCCTCTAATTCCATCTAGGACATGCAAACTATTTTGAAGCTGGTGCCTGCCCTTGATGTTGCTTAGTGAATTGTGTGTCATATTTAGTCAACACAATTTAAATACCCTACGATCTCTTCTAAGGCTTATCTATATAATATTAACTCAGAAACTGAGAAAAATTTAATAGCAAGTAGAAACTAAAAATCATTTCCAACTAATGTGAATATAGTTTTCTCTTAGCACTCTTTCAGCATTTCAATTTTCAAAAATAATATCTAGCTTAATTTTTTTTTCTATTTTGGACAGTGACATGTTTTGAATTTAAGAAAACCTAATCTGAGGGCTAGGGCCCTGGGTTCAATTCCTCGCACAGCAAAACAAAAAACGCAGACTCCTCACTCTGCTCTTCTCCCTGATAACACCCCTCCCAATAAAAGAAATGATTCGAAATCAGATGGAGAGGGAACAAAAATCACGAGAAATATTTGCACCAAAGTCTTTCAACGTGTTAACAACGACCTATAGAATGACCTAACCTTACTACTCTTTTCTGCTCAAGTGTAGTACTCCAACAAAGCTCCTGCTTCCAGCCCTTTGGTTTTATTTTAATTAAAAGCAGTTCGAATTGCAGGCAGCCTTGCTGGGTGAGTGAGAGCACCATCTCAAACAGCGTGGGAGCTCTGGAAAGCCTGGTCACAGGGACCGGTGCGGTTTACACTGTATCTGCTTTCGGTAGTTTTTGTTTCTTGAGCGCTAGGCGGCTCCTTAAAAATTGTTAGGCAAGCAAACAAAGGGGAAAGAAAAACAGCACTCCGTGGGGCCTTGGGACTGAGAATCCTTAATCTGGAGAGAACCGGTTAAACCTTCAGAGACTGAGGGAGGGTGTGCGCGATTGGTCGGTTCGAAAGGTTCCTGTAGGATGCAGGGCAGCTCCGAGACCTCCCGCTAGCGCAAACACCCACGTTCCTCCAGGAGCCCCGGGGCACGCGGGACTCGGGGGAGGGGGGCGGATCCAAAGAAGCGTCCTGCACCCTCGCCCCGTCCCATTAGGGCCTGGGGGCCCCGCTCTCGCGCCCCCGTGCAGGCTGGTTGGCACACCCGTATCTCCAGCAGGTGATGGGCTAGCCCTGACGGCTGAGTCCCCTGGCCCGCATCCGCAGCGTCCCGCACCGCACACCCGGGCGGCCGCCGCTCGGGGTCAACCTGGGCGCGTCTCCGGGGGGGCGGGCGTGGCGGCGGCCCCTCCCACTCGGATTCGCCAGCTTGTCCTGCCCCGGGGACTGGCAGCGGGCGGAGGGCGGCCGGCCAGAGTGCGCAGCGACTCTGGTCAAGACGGCGGCGCGCCCGGGGCAGCGTCCGGCCGCCCCGCCGAGCACTCGCCGGCGACATGCGCGCCCTTCCCGGCCTCCGGGGACCCCGCTTGCCGTCGGCCCCGCCGCTGCTCCTCCTGGGCCTCCTGGGAGCCCTGCGCCCCGGCCGGGCCGACGACCTCCCCGCAGGTGTGCAGGGTGCGGGGACGAGAAGGGGCGCGGGGGGAGTGGGGGCGGGCGGACTCCGCTTCTCCTGGGCCACTCTGGGAGGGCCCCAGCGTCCGGGACGAGCAGCGGCCGCGGGTCCGGGGCATTCGCAGGCAGGTAGATCTGGGGCTTTCCTCGACGTGGGCCGCGGGGTGCGTGCGGACGCGCGGGAGAGAGCCGAACGAGGCGCTGCTGGGGCTCTAGTGGCAGGACTCGAGCAAAGCTCGGGACCCGCGGCTCATCCCCTTCTCTCGAATTCGCACTAAGGTCAATCCCGACCGACCACCTATTGGCGGGCTGGCTCGGAGGGGAATGCTTGCAGCCGTGTAGAAAGAACAAAGACCGAACACCAAAGCCCGCAGCGCTTAGGAGTATGGATGCTCGTAGACGCCTATGCATGCGTGTGCGTGTGCGTGTGCGTGTGCGTGTGTGTGCGCGCGCGCCCGTCTGTGCGTGTCTGTGTGTCGTTTACACCGGGGACCTTGAGAAGGAGGGTGTTTGTTGTTGTTCAGACACTTTAGAAGAAGAATGTCTGTGCAGCGCATTAAAAAACAACCCCACCACTGTCACTAAACCCTGTCATCTTGCCCTGACTTTGTGATTGACTCTGCCACACCCTTGTTACTTCGGTGTCACATCCTCCTGGCGCTCCGGGGACCATGTGGTGCTGGGATCAAATCTGGGGCTTCTACTTCAGCCCTTTGGTTATCCCCCTGACCCCTCTTATTTTTATGTGATTTTTTTTTTTTGGACGACCCGGGAGACAGCGACGGGCTCAGGGGACCTCGGGCACTCTGCTTTACTGAGCCACACAGTTCAATGCTTGGCCTGCCTGCCGTGCAGTGTTTTGGGGGCATAGCTGTAGTGAGAGCCACCAGAACCACATCCTGCGGGACTGCGGGGGTGAGGCTTCCTGTTACACACAGAGGTGCTGAGGGACTCCAGGATTGCACCCAGAGTGGCTTGATGGGGCACCCGCAGTGACGGAGTCTGGCGTTGGGGGACAGGAAAGGGGGCTCACACATGTAGACTAGTGCTCCAGCCCTCTGAGCTATCGAAGTAGTTAATAATTAGTTTATGTTGAAAGAACTAAGGGAAAGTATTCTATCCAAACTATTTTCTTTCTAAACGAGTTAATAAATCTCAAATGTGTTCGCTGCCAAATAGGGTAATAGTCTTTCTAGTTGGCAAATATCAGTAATTAAATTGTGATGTTATTAGACACAAAAATTTCAGCCTTTCATAAAAATGGATTTTCATGAGCTTGTAACAGGAAAGTATTTTTCTTTCTGGAGCATATTATAAACATGGGGGAAAGGATACAGTTAGTTATCTAAAAATTATTTTAAAGGGCCGGAGCAATAGCACAGCGGGTAGGGTATTTGCCTTGCAAGGGCCAACTCAGTTCGATCCTCGGCATCTCATATGGTCCTGGAGCACCGCCTGGAGTGATTCCTGAGTGCAGAGCCAGGAGTAACCCCTGACCACCACTCGGTGTGACCCAAAAGCAAAAATAAACAAATAAATAAAAATTATTTTAAAACTATCCTTTGTTGTGAATGACTTGAATCAAACATTTTTTTGAGGAGGTCACACCCAGCGATACTCAGGGATTACTCTTGGCGGGGCTTGGGGGTGGAAGTGGGGCATACAACCATATGGGATGCCATGGTTCCCTGGCTTAGTCCCGTGCAAAGCAAATGCCCAACCCTGTTAATCGTCGATTGCCTCGAGCAGGCCCCAGTAACGTCTCTTTCATCCTAGCCCTGAGATTATATTCACGGCTCTTTAGGAGAATGAGACCCATCATTGTTACTGGTATTTGGCATATTTGGTAGGCCACGGGGAGTTTGCCAGACTCTGCCCTGTGGGCAGGCTACATTCGATAGCCTGCAAGTTTGTCCAAAATGGGAATGAGACAATAAGATGTCATAAAAAAATGTTCTGATAACCGCGGCTGCGCGGTTCCGGGATCTGGATTTTATAGTCTCTGAGTCTTGGCCGCTGATGGGATTACACGGCGCCAGGGGGCCAGGTGGTGGGTGTGACCCCCGCCTACTGAAATTTAGAGGATCTGGGTGGAAGATGCTCGACTCCAAATCGAGTAGGCTTGGAGGTCTCGGCCCCGGAACCCGCGTGGCTTTGTCCCTCTGCCAGTACCTTCATGTGTGCGGAGAGTGGTCTCAGCATGGTGGTGGCTGGTCCTGGAGGTCTTCGGCTGCCGTAGCCCTGGTCGGGGCGGGGAGGAAAGCTCAACCCGCTCCCCTCCAAGGGACTCCGGGAAGGAACACCCAGGCGCGGGGGCAGAGACTGCACTGTTCTATAGTACAATGCCCAACCCATTGTACTATAATCCTGGCCACAAATAAATTTTGGATTAGTTCCACTTCTAAATTTCCGTTCCCACTATCTAGCCACCCATCTCTGTCATTCACATGACTCAAAGAATTGTCAAGAATATGTTTGTTGCCTCCGTCTTAAAAACCAACTGTCTCTGATTGATCCTTCCCAGACCCCCAGTCTTTCCTCTCAGAATATACTCAAGAAATGTGTATTTTATGAGGTTAGTTCGAGAACTTTAATTCTGGACTTGGCTATTTATCAGGAAAGGGAGCTTTAAGAATTACAACTATCTGGATCTTGTTCTCAGTCATTCCAGATCTGTTTGATCTGTAATTCAGCCTACACGCCAGAAAGTTTGAAAGCCCTAATGTGGTTTTAATCTTGTGATCCTAAGGAAGTTGAAGACTATTTTTTTTAATTGATAAGCTGCTCTTAGGTAGATGCTTGAAAGTGTAAGTGTATTTTGGGGCTTTGTTCTCTTGAAATATGGGGATCAGATTTACTTTGAGATTTCAGAACAGATACCAAAAGAAGAAAACAATGTAGGAAATGAAAATGTGGTAAGTTCACAAAGATATATGTTAATAGGACTATATATATATATATACAACCCTATTAAATACATATAATCCTATTTATATACATCTTTGTGAATTTATTAAGAGATATATATTAAATGTCTATATACAGAGGGCTGGAGCGATAGCACAGCGGTAGGGCGTTTGCCTTGCATGCAGCCAACATGGCCGACCCGAGTTCAATTCCTCCGCCCCTCTCAGAGAGCCCGGCAAGCTACCGAGAGTATCTCGCCCCCACGGCAGAGCCTGGCAAGCTCCCCGTGGCGTATTCGATATGCCAGACACAGTAACAACAAAGTCTCCAATGGAGACGTTACTGGGCCCACTCGAGCAAATCGATGAACAACGGGAGGACAGTGATACAGTGATACAGTGATATACAGAGAGAGAGGGGGATAGAGAAAATTCTATTCTTTCTGTTCCCTTTAAGCTTCAATGATGGGATAATGTGCTAAAAAAATGCAAGAAGTGAGCATCTCCTTAGAAGACAGAATGAGAACTGTAAGACCCACACATCTTGTCTATAGATCCTGTAGATTCTATATTCTTCATGGTATTCTGTTTTCTTTTTGCTACAGGATACTGTGAAATTCTGTGGCAAATTTTAATCAGTGTTTCGAACTACTTGGAAATAGGTGTCCTATAAATCTCAGTTCTTGGGCCAGATTTTAATAACAAAAGTATTTATAATTTATCCACCTACTTAACTTGCACCCACAGGTGCTGAGGGGCCTCCAGGGTGCTAGCCATTGCATTGTGCAGCGTGTAGCCCTGCGGGTTAGCATTTATTATCCTTTACAGAAGGAAATTGAAATTTAGGAAGGTTAAGTAAGGGTTCAAGGCAGGGAATTTAGCATTGTTCAGCGTGACTCTAAATTCACTATTTGTCTTCATGAGCTCGCTCTCCTGTAAGTTTGGAGAGCATCCAGTTACGTAGTTGCAGAACCAGAGGTTTGTATATTTGTAAATATATATAATGCTGGGTCATTATATAGATGTATGTGTATATATATGTATGTATTGTTATATTTACATTGTGTGAAAATGTTTGTGTATTATTTATTTTGGTGGTTTGGGGCCACGCCTAGCGGTACTCAGGACTTTTCTGGCTCTGAGCTCAGGGATCACTGGCTCTCTGGGAAACCAAAGCATTGCCAGGGATTGAACCCAGGTTGGCCACTTATAGGGCAAGTCTCTACTGGCTCCAGGGTGTTTGTAGTCTTTACTCTGTCCACTTAGAAGGAGAAGTGAGCTCTCATACTGCTGGATATACCTAGCACCCAGTTTTTGGTTCTATTTCCTTTCTTCATTAGTAGTAACCAAGAATTTTTGGGAAAATGGCTGATTTCAGGATTGTGGAGGGAAATTTGAAGATAAGCTTAGGAACAGCTGTGTCAAAATGCAATCAAGCGACAAAGAATGATAGATTGAGAAAAAGATAAAGAAATCAGTGTGAATGGAGCTCCCATGGGGCAAACCTGGGACAAATTGAGTATCAAAAAGTAGTAAAAATTCTATGAATAACACTGATACTAGTACATCTATGGAATAATGTCCATTAAATAAGTAGGAATTCAAGAATATTTCCTGGCATATGATTAAATGAACCAATTGAAAGATGTATGTGGCACAAAAATTTCTAGTTTCAAAGTACCTTCTTACAGATTTCTTCTTAATATAAAAGAAAAAATTAAATTTACAGTGGATATGCCTAGCACACAGATTTTTAAGGAAATGACTAAAATGAAAACTACCAGTAAAGAGAGAAATCTAATAACAATCAGGACTGTATCATCTCTTGTGACATTTCAAATAAAGATACCTACTCCAGAGCTAATTCTGTTAAAACATAACTTCCCTGGAGTTCTCTGCACAATTGTGAACATCAGTTAGGAAGGAAAAGGGGTATACTTGGCCCTTCACTCCTATAGGAAGTCCAACCAGTGAATTCCTCTGAGCCGGTCAGACAGCTTTCCTAGCATACCTGTCTCAAAGCCAAAGCCTGCCCAGCATCCGGATCCTAAAGTCATGTGCTGCCTGTAGGACACGTGCCAATTTTGG